ATTGCTTTGCTGGAACTTGGTGTAACCCAACTCCTTAGCTGTAGTTGATGGCAACAGATTTATGATAGCACCTGAGTCACACAAGCAGCTCTTGAAGGTTCTTCCTTTGAGTTCACATGGGAGAGTAAAGCAACTAGGATCTCCAAGCTTCTTGATGTCCAGATCCTTGACTTCTGGTTCCACAACCTTGGCTAGAACTTTTCCAAGCTCTTCTTCAGCATCTAGACCTCTCATTTCCATTTGAGCAGCATAAAGAGTTGCATACTTCTTGACTAGCTGCTCTTTGAATCTTCCTGGAAATGGAATGTCAGGTTGGTAAACTGGAAGCAAATCAGCTTGAGCCTCCTTCTTAGCATCAGAAACTTGAACAAGGTCTTCCCCCTCACTTTGTTCATCAATGTCCTCATTGAGCATTGACAAGAACTCATCTATAATAGCATCTTCCTCAGTGGTGAAAGCATCTTGAGAATCAACAGCTTGGCAATACTCCTTGGGATTCATCTCACACTTTCCAGGAAGGTTGCCTTGAGCGCGTGGTGCACTAGCTACTCCTTTGTTGTTCTCTAGAGTTTTCACTCTTGCAGCTAGACCATCAAACTTGTTTGTCAGCTCCACATGAACAGAGTCTATCTTGTTGTGGACCTCAGCAAACTTTTTGTTCATCTCCATGGTAGTGTTTATCTGATTTTGAAGCACTTGTTGGATGAGAGTCTTGATCTCACCATCTGGAGTGCTGGAAGAGGTTTGAGAAGGTGCTTGAGCATTGAATCCTGGAGGGTTGTAGGGCGCTCTAGGCTGGAAGTTGTTTTTCCTTTGTTAAAAGCTTTGATTGTTGTTGTTGTAAGGCACAAAAGGTCTTTGACCAGCTTGTTGTTGTTGTTGAGGTTGGTAGACTTGGTCTTGAGGGTTGGCAACATTGTTGATTCTGTAGGATAGATTTGGATTAGGTCTGTAGTTCCCATATCCATTGTAACCTCCTTGATTACCAAGATAATTCATCTCCTCAACTTGGCAGTCTTCTTGACCTTCAATCTGAACCAAGTCACCAACAAAGCTAACATCCTTCCTTTCCCTTAGCAGCATATCAATCTTCTCATGTAAAGCCTTAATTTATTTCTTGTTAGACTCCAGTTCATCCTTAGCACTCCTAGGATTTCTATCAAACTCCGCATTATCATTCACATCTGATTGTGCTAGATTCTCCACAAGTTACAATCCCTCATCAATATCTGTAGATAAGAAGTAACCATTAGATGCAGTATCCAGAAGCATTCTAATCTTTGGGAGGGCGCCTCTGTATAGAGTGGAGAGGAGTGAAGCTTGTGAAAGCCCATGATGTGGGCACTGAAGTGTGTACCCTGAAAACTTTTCCTATGCTTCACCAAAGCTCTCATTATTCATTTGAGCAAATCCAGAGATTTCATTCCTGATTCTAGCTGTCCTTGAAGTAGGAAGAACTTGGCCAGGAATTCTCTCTTGCACTCATCCCAGCTTGTGATGCTCCCATGAGGTAAATTCTTCTCCCATTGATGGGCTTTGTCTCTAATAGAGAATGAGAACAGCCTCAACTTGAAACCATTTTCATTGACTCCATTGATCTTGGTGAGAGAGCAGAGCAAAAGTTATCCAAGTGATCCAAAGGGTCTTATAAAGGTAAGCCATGGAATTTCCTTCTTTAGACCATGGAGATCAGACCATATTTGTTCTTAAAGTTATTGTTCTGAACAGCTGGAGGAAGGATTCTTGTTCTGTTGTTGTAAGCATTGGACACATCTCCTGCTCCAATGGGTCTTATAGGCCTTGGAGCTTGAGCTGCTCCTCTATGACCTTGCTCTCCGTGCTGTCCTTGAACCCCTTGTTGGCCCTGTTGGCCCTGAATACCAGCTGCTCCTTGAGGTCCTTGGAACCACATATCACCCAAACCTTGATCTTGGATGTTCATCCCCAATCTCTGAAAGTGTTGATGTTTTTCCCTTAGTCTCCTTGCCCTTTGACCTCTGTCCAGTAAATTAATGTTGTCTATGAAGTCCACTAAGTTGTTAGAGCCTCTTGATCTAAGGTTCATACACCTGAAAACAGCAATGAGAGTTGAAGACTATTAGTAACCAAATACAAATAAAACATGATCTTAAAGATTCCACAAATTCTAATGATCCAAACAATACCCCCAATGGTAACAGTGCCAAATTGATACAAGAGTTTTAAGTCTCTTTTTCAATCACCAAGTATATACTAATCAGTTGTAGTATAGCATAGGGTTTTTATCAATCCAAGGGAGTTATGAATAGATGCCAATAGAATTATGAGCAAAAAACCTTAAGTCAAGTGAATCAAAGAAGGGAGTGTTTCTTAGCAACTAAACTAACAACCTAAGTGAAACAAGAACCAAGCACAACTAGTTAAAGCAATACCAAGCAGTGATTCAAAGCAAAACAAAGCAATAAAAATATAGAACTTTAAGCAAATTCAAAATTCAAAAAGAGAAAACAAGTTCATAGATGTGGTTATTGATTTTGGGGAATTCAAAGGCAAGACAAGGCTGTTTCAAACATCATTGACAATGCAAATAAGCAAGCAATGCTAATTCCTAGGCATAGAGTTCACAATCAATCAAGTTAAGTTCAATCTCTTGACAAATAACCATTTGCTAATCATCCTAACAAGAACTAACTCTCATTAGTGGTAAAACAATCAACAAGCATGCAAAACCAACTCTATTCAAGCCAAAATACTTCTCAGACAGTCAATCTCTTGAGCTAAGACCAGTAAATCCTCTATCAAACAAGATCAACATTTTATCAAACACTTGGTGGGCATAAGATGAAGCCTAAATCTAGATTCATATGATCAAGATAAATCTAACCTAAACACATATTAATAGAGAGGAATCAACCTAATTAAGCACTAACAAACTCTAATCAAGCCTCTAAATTTCCCTAATCTACCACATCTAAGAACCCTAAAAAGTTTACTCACTCATCATCAATGAAAACACTAATCATGAGAGTAAATGATGTTAAACATGATTAGGAGGGAGATTATAGAAGATTTAATGATGTAAATACAAAACTTTAATTAAAAGGATGATCTTGTTCTTACAAATACTGAAAAACTCTTAAGAAACTAAGCAAGAACAAGACTTGGCTAAAAACCATTAGTCCAAGCCTCTTTATAGTAAATGACAAAAAGCCATAAAGAAATGGCAAAGTTGTAATTAAAAGAAGTTTGGATTAGGCTCACATCGATCACAAGTGATCGATGTGGATGATCGATGCTCTTCCTCTGGTGCCTGACATCGATCAGCAGCTAGTGATCGATGTGCTTGATCGATGTGAATCTTCAAAGCTTCTACCCATTTATATCGATCAGTCTTGATCGATGCTAGTGATCGATGCTCTTCACATTGATCACATGTGATTGATGTGGGTGATCGATGTGGACCTCCCAACTCTCGGCTGCTTTACATCGATCTCTCCTTAATCGATGCGGTTTGTGCCTTGATCGATGCTGCACCAAAAACTATCTTCCTTGGCTCCTTTTGCTCCTCTTTAGCTTAGGTAACTCCTTGAATCATCCACATGCTTCTTCCTTGCTCTAAATAGCTCCTTAGGTACCTAAAAACATCCTTAATGCATAGAAAATGCAAACTACAACCTAAATGCAACCTAAGTCTAAAAAGAAAGGAAAATGGGACTAAAAAGAAGGAAAAAATGCAAAAGGAAACCAAAACATGAACTAAATGCAAGCTTAAATGATGTAAATGCAAGAGATATCAAAGCTCGATCGCCAAAATTAAAGTAAATAAGTATATTCACTTTAAATCTCAACCGTCCACCTCTAAAAGGTAACAACCGTGAGATCTCGTCGTGCGAGCTACGATCCTTATGGTCAACCCTCGACCGTGGAATCAGCTGGACTTTTCATCTTTCCAAGTCTAAGCCGTTGATCTTGAATGATCACCTGATACCATGACGTTAATGTACTAGATATGAAATCTTTCAAAAATAACAACTCGTCGTTTAATAAAGCTCGAACTCTTTCTCGTTAAAGGGTTGTGGGGCAATTGTTAGAGCTAAATTTTGTACAATAAATCCGGTCCACTCAAGCCCAGCAAACAAGTCCAGACTAAGCATAAATTGACTGGGTTTTATTCATACGGTCCAGGATCGATTCTTCACAACGGTCCAACCTTGAACATCAAATGTTCCATTCAACGAGGTCGAGCTCTAGCTCGACAAAATCATGAGAAACAAGGAATGATCTAGACCAAGTCGGAGAATATTCTCATCAGTTCAAACGAGCACGAGATTTCTGGGAGAGGTTACTCCACGTGGCCGAGATACACACTGGAGGTTGAAGTTCGACGAGGAGAACTATATAAAGAAGGCAAGCTGCTTAGTTTAAGAGGATCCGATTTTACACTTTATACTTGAAAATTTTGTAACCGCTCTTTGTGCTCTTTTCACTATATTTCTTTTAGAGAAATTCTGTAACTGTTTCATTCATCCGATTAGTACTAAGTCTTTATTTTGATCAATACTTGCTTATATTGTCAATTTGTTTGAAAAAATCTAACCACTAATTCTTTTAAAGTTTTTTTTTTATAAAAACACATAAATTTGTGAGTGTCAATTTCTGTGGATAACTATATTTTCTATTTTACAAAACAAATTAAATTTTTGAAAAAGTTTGACATGTGAAAGTTTTTGAACAGAAGAAAAAAACAAAAAACAAATGTAGATTTGTTTGTCGACCATACAAATTCTTTTTCGATATCGCTGCTACATAAATGCTATGCTACATTCCAAATTCAGTTTGTAATGATTAAATTTGCCGTTTCTCGCTCAACGCCAAAATAGAGGAAATGGTTTTATCAACAAGGCAACAGCCAGTATCACACGGTCCACACCAGTCCCACTCCCACAAATCACAAACCCCAAAATCGTCGTCATCTTCTGTTTCCGTGCTTTCGTCTCTGACAAAGAAAAAAAAAATTGGAAATGGAGAAAAACGGAGCGAAGCGATGGAACTTTGGAGCCAATGAGGTCGTCGAACGATCTAGCTCCCTAAGCATTCGTGAGTATCTTAATACCTTAATCAGTAATCTTGACGCCGGCGACGCCAGAACCGTCATCCCCCTCGGACACGGCGATCCTTCTCCGTTCCCGAGATTCAGCACCGATCCTTCCGCCGTCGAAGCAATCTGCGATTCTGTCCGCTCCGCCAAGTTTAACAATTATTCTTCTGCTTCTGGTATTCCTGTCGCTAGAAAGTAAGAACCACTCCTTTTTCTTTGTTTTTGTTTGATAGCTTCTGTGAAGTGATAAACCATCTGTTTCAATTTTGGGGCCTTTCTTATTAAGTTCTGAATATTCTAACTCCATTTTGCTGTTTAATTTTCAGAATCGATTGCTTTTTTTTTATCATCTTTTGATCTCGTGCCTTTGGGAATCTTCAGAATTCATACTTTTGCTTAATTGTTTTCCATCTAAAGCTACTATGCATTTATTTTGCTCAATGTGTGGATATTTTAAAGATAAACAGCCTGAAAATAAGTTATATTTTAAAGATAAACAGCCTAAAAAATAAGTTATACTTATCCTCAAATACAAACGTTTAATTGGTTAAAATCATTGGGATATTGTGATTAGTGCTTACATGATTTATAATCAGTAGAAACTAGTCTTTTTTGTAGAATTTTACTTCCAATCAAGATTACATTTCACAATGTGTATCAACTATAAGTAAAGCTTCTGAGTTGATGATGACTTGTTTACTTCAACAGAGCTGTTGCAGAGTACCTCTCCCGTGATCTCTCTTACCAAATATCTCCAAGTGATGTTCATATCACAGCTGGTTGTTTGCAAGCCATCGAGATTCTGATCTCCGCGCTTGCGATTCCTGGGGCCAACATTCTTCTGCCTCGACCTACTTACCCGATGTACGATTCCCGAGCGTCTTACTGCCAGCTCGAAGTCCGTTATTTTGACCTCCTACCGGAAAATGGTTGGGATGTTGATCTCGATGCAGTCGAAGCTCTTGCAGATGACAAAACCGTCGCTATTGTTGTCATAAACCCTTGCAATCCTTGTGGAAACGTGTTCTCTCGCCAGCATCTTCAAAAGGTGTGGACTTTCTTCTTACCTTTTTTTTTTTTTGAATCCGTGAGAAAAAGTTAGAAGAAATGAGAGAAGGTATTCAAAACGTGTGTTTTTAAGATTTTTTTTGTTTATGTACTCAAGATAAACCAAATCTATTATAGATGGTTTGCTTCGGATTCGGTTTGTGGTAAAATATATTATTAATTTACAAACAAATATCGGTTTAAATCAACTTTTTCGGTTTGGTTTCGATTTTTTCGGTCATCAAAAAAAGTGAATCTAAAATTTGATTCGGTGTTTTGATCGGTTAGTTCAGTTTGGTTCGGGTCGGATTAGTTTGGTTATGGATTGAAAAAATCATTTTAGATAGAAAAATAAACTGAAGAAATTATCCGTTCTGTAATTAAATAAATAATTGGACAATTTTTATATTCACCAAGTTTTCAAAGCCAAAAATAATAAAAAAAACTAAAATTTTTTTACCTCTAATATTTTTTATTTACTTTCTTCCGACTTCATTCTTTATGAAACCGTTTTTATATTTTCGGACAGTCTTCATCAATATTTATAACTTTTTTCTAAATATTTCATAAATGTGTATTATTGTTTACTAAAGATTTTAGACTATTTAGGAAAGTCTTTATATATATATTTATAAAAGCCTTCTTAAATGTGTATGATCCTTTCCTAATCATCATAAATAGTAGTATAAAATGTTTCCTTACAAAATAGTATGAAACTTTTAGAAAACGATTTTACACATTTAGGATAACCTTCATAAATGTCTAAGAAGTACTTCCTAAATAATATGATCGTTTCTTAAACATTTCATACTATTTAAAGAAGAGCTTTATAAATAATAGGAAAAACTTCCTAAAAGACTCTCTCCTAAAAATCCTAAGTGTTTATATGGTTTTTACCACCGATTTAGGAAAGCTTTCCTAAAAATCATCTTTCCTAAAAACCCTAAGGGTTTCTATGGTCGTTGCCGCCTAACTCCTCTGACCCGCCAGACACGCCAAAGCATTTATTGCTTTTCACTTTCCATCCATCTTTCCCCATCTACCTTGTTTTTCTCTCCTCTTGTCTTTTATCCCTCTTTCTAGATCTGAATCTAAATTTTGCAGATCTTCAGTCACAGCATTCAGATCTGGTGTTGCCAAAGCTAGATCTGCACTCGTTTCCGGTCTCCGCCATACTCTTTAATATATGCCGTCATTTTTAATCTCACATTCGTTTTTCAATTCCACACTCGTGATTGATGAAAATGCTAATCGTCGGAAAATACCTATTGGATTGATGAATCTGAGAAGATGAATGGAGTAGTTTAATTGATGAAGATGTATTATTGGGGCTGATTGATACTGATATTGATGAAGTTCAGAATAGATCAGAAATTCTAAATCAACATGTTATTTAAATGAGGGTAGTATAGTTTGTTAATGTGAAAAATGTTATGGTATGGAAGTTCTCTACCATGTATGTTAATTTAAGAACCAAAATTAGTTTTGATGTTATTGGAAGGAATTTCTCTAAATAATTTGGCAAACTCTTTACATGGTACATTTCTGACCTTAAATTTTATTTTATGATTATAATTTTAAAACATATAAGAACTGGCAGAAAATTATTTTTGCGTAGAAAAAAAAAGCTGACAAAAAATATAATTTATTGGAAAACAAAAGAAAAATTCAAAAGAGATTTCAATAACAAAATATAAAAAAACTATTAAACCATTTTAAGGAATCCTAAGAAATAGAAAAATGATAAAATATAGGATTTCAGTATTTATGGGAACATTTCTCATTTATCATGAGACATATTAGTTGAGTTAAAGGTAAATAAAACCCGAACACTTTGTGATAAAAAAAAGGTCACAAAAGAGAAGACTATGCTAACATCTCTAGGATAAAAGAAGCTTCGAGTGAGTCATGCAATCACTCCACGTATAGACCAAGCGATTGTTAAACCAAGGATCCTATAATGTAATCATTCGTTTCAATAAGAATATGCAATACTTGAGCAAAAGAACAATGTCTTTGAATTAAAAAAATCTTTTAAACAATCCCAACGGACTTGTTTAATCAGTGTTACACAACGTTACACAATCCTCAAAGACTTATAACTTATCCCTGATCAATTCCTAATTTACCCACACAGCAACAACTATGTTTGCTCAACGAGCTCCTAGACCAACTATGTAACCTCTCAGAGTTTCTACATGTATAAGTGATAACCCTAGCATCGTCCACATCCTCTTGTATTTATACTTTCCTTGCATTGCCAGCTTGTCACGTCTTTAATGCATAATATCTTCTTAAGATCTCGTTTATGGAAACTCACGATCTTACTTGCGAAACTTCTCGTCACAGCACTTCAGTCTTTGCACCTTGTGTGTGTGACACATATCCAAGCTGTTCCTCAGATCTTCAGCCTACAATCTTCTCCTTTTGTCTGAATGTGACACCTCTAGTTACCTGCCAAGTTAGTCTCAGAAATACAAGAACCAACTGTAACACATAGTGAATTCAAAACCAGTTTTTCATAGATAATCAAGCCATAGAGGGTTCACAAAATTAATAACTAGAGATTGTCTAAAAGTAAGAACCGAAAGGAAGGCAGCTAAGAAAAAAAAATTAAGTGTTGTTCACGAAACTTAATAACTAGAGATTGTCTAAAAATAAGAACCGAAAGGAAGGCAGGTAAGAAAAAAAGAATTAAGTGTTGTTCATGAGAACACACACAACAACAACAAAAATCGGACAACAGCTCGCTCAGTCATCCGCTTCATACTCATGTCTTCCTCCAAGACCATCATCCGGTTCTTCTTCATCCTCACTCCCTGAGTCTGAGTAATCTGATGCACTTGCATTTCTAGACAATGCCAACTTTAGGTCGAAACCATAATCTCCCCCTGCTTGAGTGCACATTCAAGGCAAAATCACAAGGTTAAAGCATAAAGCGATGAAGGTAATGCGAATGAAGAAGATACTTTCCTTTGAATCGCTGCTGAATCTTATGAATAAACTTAGATAGCTCAGAGAGATTCACTGTCAAGGTTGGTGCCCATACATGTTCCAGACGACCCGATCACATCTTGCCTTAGGATCCATGGTGATTTTTGATGGATAACCAACCAATGGATCATCACCATGATACTCCAGGACGAACCTCTGAAGGTAAGCAACTGGTATATGAGATTTGGAAAGGGCAGCACTCGTTCAACATGAGTCGGATGCTTAGCAATGGCGAGTATCTGATCGTACACCAGTTTTCCAAAATTGAATTCTTTGGCCATCACAAGAGCATAGACAAAACGAAGTCTGTCCTTGACCATAGTGGTTTTGTTTGTGGTAGGCATCCAGTTACGCCACATAGGCGATACAATACACCACAACGTTTAGAGAGATGACACGAAGGAAGACCCTCCTAGCCAAATCACTGCGTCTCAGTGAGAGCTCCAATCACATTCCGAAGATCATCGGTAGTCCAGTCGCCTTCAGGTCCATCTTCCGGAAGCAGAAACATCCGATTGATAAGCGCAGGGGAGAACTCAAACATGAGTCCACGAATGTACACATACTTAGAACCACAGCGAGTTTCCAAGTCTCTGAGGTTAGCATAAAACTCCTTGACAACTTAAGGCCAGTAGGGCTTAACATCCAGGACAATATACATCATTCCAGTTCGAACAAGAACTTACTTGACTGTGTCTAACTTTAGATCATCGAGAGGCAAATAGACACCACCATGGAATGTGCGAAGATCAAAGGATTCATACTGTACAGCTGCAGCTTCGGAAGAGAAGTCACCACAAGGGATTTGGCGAGGGCGCTCCAGAAATTTATTCTTCCTCTGCCATTCGAGAAAAGCTTGTTGATTGGCAGCATAGTGAGGTTCTGTCTCCAGAAAGCCACTGTCCACAGGAACACGAGAGTCATTCTTTTCCTCCTCCTCTTCCATCTCATCTGAAGATCTGATAGGAGTTGCAAGCGAGTTGTTGACAGAGTGTCGGGTTGAGCTAGATCCAGTCGGCAAATGTTTCCAGTGAAGCTCAAGTTGATTATCTTCGAGGTCATGAACAATCATTTGGGCTTTGCCGAAGCGTTGATTTGGATTGCGTAGCCTGAGGAGAGCGTATGCAAGAGTTTGAGAGTCATCAGGAACTGATCTGTTGATATGAGCAGATTCGACAAGAGCTTTGCATGTTTTTGATCGGGTATGACGAACAGGAAGCATGATGATTTCAAGAGAGAAAGTATGCTTATGGTTTTCACTGAGACAGAAGAAAGACACTTTGTGGCACATGAACAGTCTCGTTCGTATATATGTAGCGGCAACCCTAGAGAACGCTTTTCTTAAGCACAAGTAAACAATTAGACCCATAAACTCGAATTAGTTGGGCTTCGAAGGCCCATAAACACAAGAACCATTTAAACCAAAGCACGTTTTGAAATGCTTGAGACACACGAACTATGTAAAGAGACATATTTGAAGATTACTAGCAAGGATCTCATGAAGTTATACAACCATGAAGCACTTTTGAACATTTCAGTTTAGCATCCCACACAAACACTTTTAAACCGAACTCACGCATAGTTAGCAGGAGGAGATATATAGAGTGGAAGCACAAGAAATCACAATAGTTCACAAGAGGTAACCTTGCATACTCAATCATCCTTTGTTGCAGAGACTATTTCCAAGAAGATTCTCCAATGAATATGATTTAAGGATTAGGAGGTTATAAACATAAATATTTTATATAGTTGACCAACTTTTAAAACCACCTGGACACACTTAGTTGCTTACAATCCTACTTCGATCAGAATATTTTATGCAGCATCATTCAGCTGAGTTGCTTTCACATAATGAAGATTTTTGTTTAATGAGTCTGATCTTATATGAAGTGTATCAAGCAGACTCAGTGTGTCTTAATACAATTTGGTCATGACTGTAAACAATATCAGTAAAAATTATGACAGCAACCAATCCCGAAATAAATGTCAATCATCTCAAACAATTTAACTCAATTTGATAGCCTCTCTACCTTTAAATATCTCATCCAAACAGTGATCAGTATCAGACACAAAATGTGGTTGCATCCAGGTCCGATTCTGATTGTTTTTCTCTTGAGACAAAACACCATTGAGTTCTCTTAAATGAGCCAACTACTTCACAAAAGAAAAGATTTTCCTACAAGGTTCCTAAGAGACTAAAGCAATCTAGTGTTCTAAAACTACTGCACACTCCCCCTGTAACTCGCAAGTTAAATAAAGTTCACAAATACCTAATGCCTTTCTAAGAATCAGAAAAGTATTAGGATCGAGAGGTTTGGTGAAGATGTCTGCTAGCTGATTTTCAGAGGCAACATGTTTGATCACGAGAAGTTTTTTCTCAATTAGTTCTCTCACAAAATGATGTCTAATGTCAACATGTTTAGTTCTAGAGTGTTGAACATGGTTTTTTGATATATTTATAGCACTTTCGTTATCACAGTTAACTAAAATAGCATCAGAAAACATACCATAATCTACGAACATCTGTTTCATCCAGAGTAATTGAGTGCAGCAACTTCCCAGTGCGATGTATTCTGCTTCTGCTGTGGATAGTGATACACAGTTCTGTTTCTTACCGTGCTATGAAATCATGTTGTTCTCCAAGAAGAAATATCCTCCTGAAGTACTCTTCCGATCATCTATACATCCTGCCCAATCAACATCATAGAAACCTGCAAGATTCTCGTTAGTTTGCTTTAAATAGTAAATGACAAGATCTAACGTACCTTTGACATATTTGATGATGCACTTGACAGCATTCATGTGAGACATTCGAGGGGATGCTTGATACCTAGCGCACAGTCCAACGCTGAAACACAAGTTCAGTTTACTTGATGTGAGATAGAGGAGACTCCCAATCGTGTCTCTGTAAATTTTTTCATCAACTTCTTGACATTTTGTGTCCTTGAACAACTTATTTGTGGTGCTCATAGGAGTAGTAGCTGTTTTACTTGTCTGTATGTCAAAACGCTTGACGAGGTTTCTAGCATAGTAGATTGAGATACAAAAATGTCTTTATTTGTCTGTTTTACTTGCAGCCCCAAGAAGTAGATGAGTTCTCCAACCATACTCATTTGAAACTCTTTAGACATGGTTGCCACAAACTATTTCTCAAGTGTTTCGCTTGTGCTCCCGAAGATTATGTCATCAACATTCACTTGAACTATCAGAATATTGCTTCCTACGTCTTGGATGAACATAGTCTTATCTAATGCTTCCTCAAGCGAAAACTGAGTCAACCGTTCAACCAAGCTCTGGGGGGCTTGCTTTAATCCGTACAAAGCTCTCTTAATTTTGTAGACATGGTTTGAATGTTTAAGGTCTTCAAATCTCTTAGGTTGAGATACATACACTTCTTCTTGAAGTAGTCCATTCAGGAAGGCGCTCTTAACATCCATTTGGAAGAGTCTAATATTCAATATGCAAGCAATGCCAAGAGAAGACAAATTGATTCAAGTCTTGCCACCGGAGCAAATGTCTCATCAAAGTCAATTCCTTCTATTTGTGAGTAGCCTTGAGCTACTAAGCGTGCCTTGTTCCTCACTACATTCCCTTTATTATCTATATTATTCTTGTAGATCCACTTAGTATCAACCACATTCACATCCTTAGGTTCAGAAACTAGTTCCCAGACATCCAATCGCCAGAATTGCTCCAGTTCCTCATGCATAACAGCTACCCAAAATTCATCATTTAGAGCTTCCATAATGTTCTTTGGCTCTATGAATGAGATAAAACAGTTTAAGTTTCACTATTTCTGTCATGAAGCATGCCAGTTTAACCATCTTTTTAAAGTTTATCTTTTCCTCTTATTTGTCTTCCATCTAAGACTCCATCCATTACATGGTCTAATGAATGATTCTTTGGTACTTTCACAAGAATTGGAACTTGCAGGTCTGTCTTCTCCTGTCTGGAGTAAGGGACTGCCTCTTCTGAAGTGGACTCGTTTTCTAACTGACTAACCTGTGGTATCGAGTTAGAAGAAGCCTCCTTGACATCAGTGTCAACCTCCTCCAGTTGTAGGTTGCTTTTGTCAACAAATACAACATTTACAGACTCTTGAATCAGTTTTGTCATATGATTGTAGACTCTAAACGCCATGCTGTGAGTGGAATAACCAAGAAAAATCCCCATGTCATTTCCTGTAGTCAAACTTTCCAAGTTGATCTTTCTCATTTAAGATGTAACATGTACAGCCGAAAATGTAAAAGTAACTCAGGTTTGGTGTCTTTCCCTTCCATATATCGTATGGAGTCAAGTTCGCACCTAGTTTCACATAGACTCTATTGATAATGTGGCAAGCAGTGTTAATAGCTTCAGCCCAAAATCTGGTTGATACCTTGTTCCCATGAAGCATTGCTCTTGCCATTTCCTGCAAAGTTCGATTTTTCTTTTCAACCACTCCATTTTGTTGAGGAGTTCGAGGAGCTGAGTATTGTTGTCTTATTCCTTGACTGTTACAGAACATGTCAAACAAAGCATTTTGAAACTCCCCTCCATGGTCGCTTCTGATCTGAATTATATTTTCTTTTTCTGTATTCAACTGAAGAGCAAGTATTTTGAAACTCTCTGCAGCTTCAGACTTCTTTTTCAGAAACCTAACTCATGTGGACCTGGAGAAGTCATCCACTAATATAAAGATGTACTTGCGACCAGCAATACTCTTAGTTTGAATAGGTCCCATCAAGTCCATGTGGATCAGCTCCAAAATTTTCTAGGTTCTGATTTGTCCTAGTGGTTTATGCTGCACCTTTATTTGTTTTCCTTGTTACATGCTTCGCAGAAAATATCAGTAGGAGTTTCTAGCTTCAGTATCCCTCTCATAATCTCTGCTTTGACAATCTTGCTGAGACCGTGCACATTCATATGTCAAAGTCTCATGTGCTAAAGATCAAGCTGAGATTCTCTTGCAAGCAAGCACTGGCTAGATTCACATCACATGTAACAGTTGTTACCCGATCTTCGACTATACAGAAAGATGTTCCCTTTTTCATATATGGCTTGACAGTCATCACAAGTAAATATCACTTTGGGACCTTCATCACAAAACTGACTTATGCTAATCATATTAGGCTTTAAACCATCTACATAGTAAACATTGATCAACTAAGGCTTGTTCTCCTGGATCATATTTCCTACTTCTTTGATTTTTCCTTGTTCACCATCTCCAAAAGTTACTTTGTCACCCTTGAGACTGGAGTATGTATCAAGTACACTTTGACATCATGTCATATGTCGAGAGCAGCCACTATCAATATACCAAGGGTTTGTTTCTTCCTTGTTAGCAGACATGTAAGCTACATTGCTCTCTAATAGCTGGTACTCACATTTATGTGTGTCGTCTGCATTTTATAGTCTTATCTGAGAGAAGTTGCATACAATTTGCTCAGTAGAACGCTTGTGCTCTGTCACTTTACCATTCAGCTCTCTCTTAGCTATCCAAACTTTTCCAAATGAGTTTGGCTCAGGAAAACACTGATTTCTGCCCCCAAGCATCCATAATCCTTTTCTTGCGCTTTAACAGATCACACTCAACTCTTTTGTGTCCTAGTTGTTTGCAATGGTAGTACTGTTTGTTGGTTTTGCAGCTCTGTCTACTCTTTGAGACACTGTTATTAGGTCTTGTGTAACTGTTTCTGACAATCTTCTTTTCTTCTGAATAGACTATCTTCTTTTGGTTGAGATGAAGATCCTGCAACAAAATTTGACATGTTGGAGATTTTCACTTATGTCACACTAGCAGCTTACCGAGACCCTAATTTGCTTTAGGTGGTTGTCCTGTTGAGAAAATCTTATCCAGATCTTTAGTACCAATATTCAGCATCCTTATCCTCTTGTGATTCTCATCCACTTCCTTCAGTAGACTTCTTGCTTTTTCTTCTTCCTTTGAGCAAGCTTCTATGATGCGTTTGACATTAACTTTCAAGATTATGTTCCTTTCTTTCTCACTATTCAGTTTCTTCTTGAGACTTTCAGCTTCCGAGTCGAGTCCTGATGACTTCCCTTCTTCATCACTAGAACCCCAGACTTTGTCACATTCAAGAATGTTCATTTTTGCTTTCATCATAGCCATTTCCTTAATGAGTTGAAGATTTTTGTTGCTAGGAACCACATTCTTGTTGTACAGATCATTGTATTCTTGAGTAAGATCCAAACCATCTTCATCATCAGAATCTGACTCAGTATCAACATTTGATGCAATTTTTTTAACCAGATCATCTTCTTGAGCAGTTAAGGCAACAAAGTTTAGTATGAGTTCTTGGTTTGATCCATCGCTATCTTCTGACTCGCTATCACTGAACACTACAAGTGACTTTTTTTTTAATTCTCAAGACACTTGACACTCTGCTTTGGTGTGGCCGAAACCCTTGCACTCAAAACACTTCAACTCTTTTCTCTTTGTCAAAGGACATTCCTTCTTAAAATGGTCAAAGCCTTCACACTCATGACACTGCAAGTCCTTTTTCTTGCTAGACCGATCACTTTCGTACTTATGATCTCTATCAATTTCACTTCTCTGACCTCTTCTGGAGGTTCTGTTTTGTCCTTTCTCAATGCGTTTCAACATTTTGTTGAAGTTTCTGGCCATGAGGCTTACCAAGGATCCTATAATGTAATTCGACTCAATAAGAATATGCAATACTTGAGCAAAAAAACAACGTCTTTGTATTAAGAATCTCTTAAACAATCCCAACGGACTTGTTTAATCAGTGTTACACAATGTTACACAATCTTCAAAGACTTGTAACTTTTCCATGACCAATTCTTAATCTACCCATACAGCAATAGCTATGTATGCTAAGTGAACTCCTAGACCAACTCTGTAACCTCTCAGAGTTTCTACCCGTATAAATGCTAACCCTAACATCATCCACATCCTCTTGTATTTATATTTTCCTAGCATTGTCAGCTTGTCACGTCTTTAATGCATAGTATCTTTTTAAGATCTCGTTTATAGAAATTCACGTTCTTACTTGATTTCCACAGAACTTCTAGTCACAGCACTTCAGTCTTCGCAACTTGTGTGTGTGACACATATCCAAATTGTTCCTCAAATCTTCAGCTTACAGCGATTTCATACTGATTTGCTTTGCTGAATTCAGCAATCTACCTACAGCTCCATGCGATTCTTTCTCAAGTACTCAAGTTCCTTTCAAAGCCATCTTCATATGCAATCAAACTTTGCAGCTTTGTTTTAAATCGGTCAACATTTATAAACCCCAAAACACGAGAGAATAATTGCAGTTGAAAAAAAAAACACGAGAAAATAATTATTTTTCTTAGTATGTTGTACGGTACAATTTGTACCATGGGAGGCTTCGGCACGTTGAGAAGGATCCCATAATCATTTAATTTTAAGTAGAAACACACTTTTTCCATCAAAGTGGCCTATTTTTCGGTTTTAGTGTAGACTTGTTCTTCTTTTTCGGTAAAGACGACGTGACTTTGGTATGTAAACATGTCTTCGTCCTCTTTACATGGTGGATAAAAGATTGCAGAGACGGCTTGCAAGCTTGGAATACTTGTGATCGCAGATGAAGTCTACGACCACTATGCCTTTGGGGACAAACCATTTGTATCTATGGCTAAGTTTGCAGAGATAGTGCCTATAGTTTTGTTGGGCGCCATATCTAAAAGATGGTTTGTTCCTGGCTGGAGACTTGGCTGGATGGTGACTCTTGATCCTCATAGCATCATGAAAGATTCTGGGGTTTGTTACTTCTTTTGAGTTAACATTTTGATTTACTCAATGAATCTCTTCTATGATAATCTAATCTCTGTTTCTTTTTCTATATAGTTTGTTCAGACACTTAACAACGTCCTGAGCATGTCGACGGATGCTGCAACGTTCATTCAAGGCGCGATTCCTGATATCATTGGGAACACGAAGGAAGAGTTCTTCTCATCGAAACTCGAAATGGTTAGAGAATGTGCAGAGATTTGTTATGAAGAGATTATGAAGATCCCTTGCATCACTTGTCCCTGCAAACCTGAAGGGTCAATGTTCACTATGGTAAAGAATCAACATGAATCAGATTATTCATCTCTCAAGCTCATGCTCAAGCTTTGTTTGTTGGTGCAGGTGAAGTTAAACCTTTCTCTACTCGAAGATATCAGTGATGATTTGGATTTCTGCTGCAAGCTGGCTAAAGAAGAGTCAGTGATCATCCTACCAGGTTAATTATTAGTCTTCTTGACGAGCTTCGTTGACAGTTGCAAGCAGTTAAAATCATCGATGCGGTTTCTTGCAGGTCGAGCTGTTGGGCTTAAAGACTGGCTGCGAATCACCTTTGCGGTTGAGCTCGACCTCCTCATAGACGGGTTTTCAAGGCTAAGTAACTTTGCCCAGAGACACTCCAAGAAGCAGCCATGAGTGTTAAGTCTCTCTCTGTCATTCTCAATAGCCAAAGCAAATTAGATTTTGCTGAGAGGCTTTTAAAATAACACTACTGGAAAGTTTGAACAAAGATTTTATTCTCTTTTTAATAACTAATAAAGGATTTGATTCTCTTAATTTGAACAAAGAAATGAACCAGTGATGTCAAGAAGCAGCTGTGACCATGTGATTCTCTCTGAGTCTATTACATAAGGAAAGCAAATTTATATTTTTTACTCAGAGGCTTCTAACATAACATTGTTGGCTTTCTAAAACATGAATTGCCATAAGCTATAGCCTTCAATTCTATTGGCAACAAGATAAATAAATCAGTATTTCCAAAAAGTAGCCATGACCATTGAGATTTCTAACATTCTCCACAGCCAAGACTTCTAAAATAATGTTAAAGGCTTTCTAAATTATTAAACTAATATCACCAAGAACCGGTAATACTAATCGGCTCGCAGTCTCAATATCTCATTTGCTGTTCTTAACCTGAAGTATGGCATCTCCTTCTGCAAAAGATAGAATTAAGACGAAATGAAAACAAAAACATGTTTTGTATTACTCTTCTTAATACATGTCTCAGTCTCACAACTGCCTATTTAACTTGCTGGTATATTTTATTACCTGGCTAAAATGTAGCGCAAGTCCTCTACTGTAAAAATCTATGTATTTAAGCATAAACATCCCACAGTCGTACCTGGGGCAATTGCATAAGAAGAGTGTGAGTATATTACTACATAACGCATAGTGCTATAACAGAGCAGTTGCATTTAGCTAAAGGTAGATCATAAACTACAAGGAACAAAATTAGCTTGTAATTAGAAATCAAACTACCGACTAAAAGAAGAAGCTATCACAGAAGCAATCGAGGTAGCAAACTATGAGAAACATTAGTGTTTTATACGTTTGACTGTTTATCTGAGCAGAAGTCATAGCAAGATATAGACTGGATCTATCCTAATTAGATAAAGTTCCTTTCACTTGATCAAATAATATAGCAAAAATGAGAATAACGTACCCGTTCTGTTGCCGAGGAAGGTCTTTAACAAATTCAATGTCCCATGAACTAACGTCAATAACTTTTCCACTCTTGTCCTTGACCTCATCTACAATGTACTTTGCCTGAAGCACATACCAGTAACAAGCATCAGGTAGAAACAGTAGGTTCAGATTCATCACATAATCATAGCTTCGCATCTTTAAAATGAAAATGTGCAGAAAGTTATGATTGAGAAATTATACCAGAACATTCAAAATTCTAGGATCATATCCATTTAGTGAATCGAGATACAGGAACTTGCATTCCCTTTTGTTGATCACTGCCAGGGTCCAATGTACACCTCCGTGGATTGGAACAAATATCTGCATAGATTCATCATCAAACAAATTGGAATATGTTTGCAAAAGTATACAAAAGTAAAGCAAAAGTTTAGGTTCTGGGAGAAGCTCACTATGTCACAGTCAATAAGATTATATCCCAGCTTTCTCTGAGTAGTCCATCTCCTGACAGCTTCGTAGTTGTAACCAGAGGCGCTTACTAGCTGAACACAATGTAATTAGAGGGAATAAACATAAGGTTGTGAACATTCATAAACACTATTAATAACTGTCACAGGCATTCATGGGGACAAACGCCATAATAACTTTTATGGAAGCAAGTCATGGCGAAAGAAGGCAAACCTTGATGTAAAAAAACGTATTAAAGAAATGACACTTCAAGTACTTTTGAGGATCTCTAGTTTCTCTCTCTTTAAGCAATTCGAGATAGACATTAATGACCTATAAAAACAGAACAAATTAAAACACCATTCATCAATCCAACACTGGAAAATGCAACAAAAGGAGTTTGAACCAAAATTTTGTAAGAACAAAAAGAAAACAGAAATCAGAAGAAGTACCTCGTCGTTAAGCCAGGCAAACGGTTTTAAGCATTGTAAAGTTTCTCCATGAATATCAATGTTGGAGTTTTTATGCAAAGCCAAGACTTTGTTTCTGATATAAGCAAATACAATTGGTTAAAATGACTAAATCGTTCAATCACATGACATGTTCGTAGCTTAAAAAAGTTACCTATTTCTCACAGAGAATGCAGCATTGACTTGAGCTACTTCTTCCTTTTTGAGCGGTAGAAAAGGTTCATGAGAAACCTTCAACAAAGCAATAAGACAACTTTCAAAAAAGAAAAAAAGACAACCATTCTCAACAATGTGCTTCATCATTATGTAAAAAAAACCTTATAACTCGACGAACTCTAACTACAAGTCATCTCTGGAATGTACAAACCATATACCATTAAGCAGCTTTGGCATTACACCAAATTCTTAAAGGTACATACATACTCTAGTACGGTTCTTTGCATCAACGAAAATCACACAACCATAAACAACAACATCAAATGCATTTATTGGAGCAAGAAGAGTATATAAATCACCTCAACACGCGTTTTCTTCAAACGGGGAGATCTGCGGAGCAATGAAACGCTCAAGTTGTTCCTATTTTCACCATTTCGAAAACCCCAAGTAGAAGAACGTTCTTCAACCAAAATTTGATTATCATCTTCAATGCTTGAATCTTCATCATCAATTAAATCAATCACAATCTTCTCCTTTTCATTAAATTTCAAAATGGGTTTGTTCGAATCATACTTATGACCAAACAAATTGCGTGTGGTTTCGCGACTAATCTCTACATTGCCACAGCAATCTCTAGGCTTCGCCTTCTTTTTGGAACGACGAACGAGTGACCTAAATCTAAGAAATCCTCTGCGATTGGCGTGAAATTCTCGAAATTTCGTTACTGGGTACCTAGAAAGTCTCGAGATTGTAGCATTTGAAGACGAAACTGGCTTCTCCGAGAAGAATCTGCTTTTTCCGGGGAGGATTATCTGTTGACTCGTGCTCAAGCTTCCGACGCCGCGATTGCGCTTGCGTTTGGTGGCTTCATTAGCCATGAGAGTCGAATTTGGCGAGAGCGTTCGTGTTCTTGGCCAAGCGACTGGGATTTACGAATATCCGAGCGTCACGGGAGTCTGAGTCATTTTCAAGTTTTAAAGTTAACTCATTCAAGTCGTTTTGACGAAACTTAAATTTTGGATTGGTAAAACAGTAAAACCATAGAATGACAGAAAAAATTGAATTAGAGAATAATTTTTTTTAAAAAAAAAATCTTCTTGTCCCAATAGTTTAATAAAGATTTATTAATGATTTTACATCAAAAAGTCTGGATTTCAAATCACAGAGAGTGCTATTTATTCTTAATTATACAGATTAATAAAGAATGATGCAAATTAATAGAGACAAGCTTATAAGAGATCTTTAGTGTGGTGCAAGCAGAATCGTCAGACGTAGATTTTGATATGATGATGGTAAGTATGGTGCAAGATGCAAGTAGAGCTGTTAGTCGTGGATCTTCATAAGACGGTAGAATTAACCGTTGCAGAATCGTCGATGTAACAGTTCTCATAATTTGCAATAGATTAATAAATCAGTGTTAAAAAAATAGAGAATAATTTTTTATAAAATTACAGAATACATTTTTGTGATATGATTAGATAATTTTACGGATTAACGGAATGATAGAATATAAATATCTAAAATTAATTTTTTTATTTATAATATATTTTATATCATAAAAATTAACATATTGATGGACATTCACACGACACTCAGACAATATCTTCGAGATCTATGAAAAAAAAATTAGATTCGTCATTTCGAGAGAGAGTGTTACTATACTCTTTTTTCCTCATCATGATTTTTAATTTAAATAGGAATAAAGTTTTTAATGAGGCAATACATAATATATTATTAATGGATAATTAAAAAGAGAATGTCAAAAAATGAATGATAATTATCTATTTGCATTTTATCTTTACTAATCCATCCCCGCCAACACAATTCTTTTAATAAGGAGTATGTTTATTGTAAATAATATACACATTTTGAGAAGTAACACAAGTCACTCTTCTTCTTTTATTAAAACACTCACATCTTTCTCACATTTCTCACGTTTCTCTCTCTCACTTTCAACAAGCATATAAAATATAGAGAAAGTGCTTCAAAATAACTCAGAATGATAAAATAATGTGAAATATGTATTCTATTGAAGAAAAATTATAAAAATGATTTTTTTTTACGATTTTTATAAATATCAGTACTATTCTTCTAACTACTGTTATTTGTAGACTAATGACAAACAGAATGAAGACTACTGATAGACTGATTGGTTAAATAATTAAATATAGACTGCTGGCAGACTAATGGTAGACTAATTGCAAAAATTGGCATACTAACAATAGACTAGTGGATCCCTCTTATAAATCATATTAAGAAGTGTCATGTTTCGTAATAAAATTGTCAAGTGAGTTATTTCAAAATTATCTCTAAATATATATTGCACTTGTTCGGGAGCAAATTTTAGGATGCCACATGGGGGTGTGTGATTCGTCCGGGGGGTGGAGCTGTGTCTCCGAGTTTTGTCCTCTCGGGGAAAAGGCGACGAGTCGTTCCGGGGCGGAAGCCTTCGATGTCCGGGTGATGAGATGATCATCGTGCCTAATCCTGCAAACACTCAAGGAAAGGTCAGTCGAGCCTCCGGAAAGACCGAAAGGGGGTTTCTCTCCCGAAGGTTCTCTGACGCCCAAGTTAGTGAACATCCTACTGGGAACAAGTACTCAGGAGGGGGGATTTCTACGAGTTAGTGTGAGAAGTCTCGTCCAAGGATCGAGGCCTCTGTCTGTTTTCGGGTGTTCAGAAGGGGTTTCTACACGATAAAAGAAGACGGAGCGAGTATAAAGGCGAGGTTCCGGGTTTAGAAGAACTTAAACCGAAAGACATTCACCTGGGATGAACATGGAGTTCACCCGTGATCGTGCTGCTTGCCAGGGCCGACTGATCAAGATAAAAAGTAGTTACCTCCTCTTTCTGAGGGGTTTTCTCCGATCAGATCAATCGCCCCCCTTCTGTGTGGTGATCTGCTTCTCTTTATACTCGCAGTTTCCTTATCCTGTCTTTTCCACCCGGCGTGCCAGGGGAGTAGGGTAATGATTCTTGCGTATTTGGAAAAGTTCGCCAACTGTCCCAGAACAATACGCGAAAGTGGATCGGTCGAGCTAGCGTGGCATGTGTTAGTGTCTAAGGAAGCCTAAAATCTACATGTCGGACTTTCTCTTGATGCAGTAAAATCGGTCCCAACAGCACTATAATTTTTGACAGGTGAAACATTTACTGATTCTTATTGAGGAAGAAGTTACATCTTGTAAACTGTATATACAACTAGGATTTAGTCCGCTCTACGTGCGGAGAAATTTTTAAAAAAATTTATAAAATGTTAGCTTTATTTAAAAGTTTAGTATTTCTTAAAACAATATAGGTTATATAATATAATTGTTGTTGGAATGAAAATATTGTATCAATATATGAATGTTATTGTGGTTTGGTTTCTGTATGATATTTGGTTGAAGTTAGTAATTTATACTTATAATTACTATATGGTTTGTGAATTATATTTCTTTATAGTTTGGAATTTGATTTTAAAATAGATTTGTATATATTAAATTTATTTTGTATTTAGGATTGTTGGAATTCATTTGTAGATAATTATTTTCTATTAAATATAATATATTTGATAATATCCTGAATGTGTGTACATATTTATAAATAATATTGTTTATTTTGTTATAAAGTAATTATTGAGAATATATGGATGAAGTTAATTATTGAATAATTTAGTACTAAATAATTATAAAATATATATTTCATTTCATGACGAAAATGAAAAAAATTAGTTACAAAATGTCAATGTTTAAATTATGTTCAAAATAGCAAACGGAGAATAAGATTCAATTAAATATAAATTTATAATTTTAAAGAGATAAAAAGGTAAGAATAGAAAATAAAATAACTCATTATAGAAAGCATTTAGAAGTCTTTCTCAATACACTAAACATAATTGTTTCTCGACTCTTCTTTATGTTTATCGACTCTTCTTTTCCCCAAATAGAAAAGACAGACTGAGTTCTCCGATCCGATTTCGAGATTCATTTCTCCTCCCCAAAATCAGGTAAATCGATTAACTGAAGTTTCTCTAAACTTTCGTTCTCCTAATCTATCTATTTTCTTTCGCACTTCAGCCACTTATAGAGAGATCGAATCGTATCGACGTTTAAATCTTTCGAGCTTACTAACACACGAAGATTTGCTACAATTTCATGGTTCAGAATAATCCGTTCAATCGATCTGTTGGATCTGGTAAATTCAAGCCCCGTTTTCACAGTATGAAGCCATTAATTTCCCGACTCCGTCTAAGATTGTTCTTCATCCTGATTCTAAAGATAGGTAATTGTAAATCTTTTCATGCATGTTTAAGTAGTGATGGGAATTCGTTGTGATGCCAAATAAACGCTTAAATCTTTGTTTGTGTCTCTTACAGGAATGGGTCTTTTTAATGATCCGATGAAATGTCCTACAACCACGAAGAGTTTCAGATAAGTCTCGTAGATTGTTGTGTTTATTTTTAGTAAATACACAAACTCATTATCTTCTATACGAATCCGTCAAAATCTTAATTTATATTTTTTATAATTAGTGGAATAATTAGACAGAAAAAGTTTTCTTACAAGAATTATTAACATGATCCACAAGAAATTCAAAATATCTGTTATTTACAACAAATCCTGATGACAACTAATAATGTGTTTAAACAAGATGTTCAAGAATAAAAAGAAATGACCAAAACATGATGTATCGTTCATTTGGCAGAATCAAGACTTCAATTCAGTATACGGAGAACACTAGTATAAAAAAAAAAACCGGTTAGTTTTCTTCATTATTTGATATTCGGAAATATCTGTTAAATGAATGTTAGTTGAATGATATTTTTTTCTTTGCTTAATATAGAGATGCTTGATTGAAAATACATTAGTTTAAAACTCTGTAACACTAAAAATAAAAAATCAAATAACCGTAATAACTAAAAGAAACAAAATCATTGTTATAACAACTATAAATTCCGAAAAATCTCTTTGAAAACGACATTTGTAGTCTGCTTCTGAGGCTTCCATTCTTTGTCTACTATTAGGATTTTCAATCTTTCTTAGAAGTAACTCTAGAGAGTGCCACGTAAAGCTGACCATGAGAAAACACAGGCCGAGGAAGAAAAAGACCAACTTCCTTTAGTGATTGTCATTGGCTCTTGTTAATCGTCATAGCCAAAGCTACAGCTAATGGAAACTGTCTTCTTCTCATTTTAAAAGGCAGCTTAAAATCAGATGGAGAAATTACAATCTTAGGAATCAAAACCTTAGAACCCACTCTATCTCCTATAATAACTCAAGCTTCTAAAACATGATCAGCCATTTGTGTTATCTGTAATCTAGTTCCATTACATAATCCTCCCTTAGGATCTATGTTTCGTAGCAACATTACTGGAACACCAATCTTAAGACGTACAAAATGTTCGGATAGTCCAGGTACCTTTTTACTGTGTAAGAAATCAAGAGTGAGTATTGGATTGTTCCTTGAAACTGTATCCGTAGGATCGATACTATCAGCACTTAAATAAACTCTTTCATCACTTGATAGAAATAAGTAAATTAATCAGTATAAAAAATGCATATACAAAGGAATTTAATATTATATAGATGATACATATGAAAAATTAGAATGTACCTTTAATTTTGTCAAGCATAAGTTCATTGATCAAATCAACATCGTCATTTTTTGGACATAAGATAGCTCTTTCTTGGAAAAACTTATGATCATCATTCTGTATCAAGAAATTAGGATCACTATAAACTTCATTGCTAATCACTTGAAGGGGATCATTCGGTTCAGTAATAAGTAGTTCTTCAGGAATATCTATTAGAGCTTCACAGTCATTAGGCTCTGAAAGTTTCCCACCGCCGACATCTAATAACCATTCTGAGAATTTCTGAATTTCATTAGCTTCACC